AATACACAGGGGAAAACACATCACATCAGCCTGGATTTTTCCTGAACGTTACTCTTCCAATCTTACCAGAAGCAGCACTGAAATACAAATGAGATGCAGCAGCAGCTGAAGAATGGACAGAAGCATTAATTTCTCCTGGGGAGTAGACACACAAGCTTTCAGTAAGCCCCATTGAAAGAAAATGCTGCGTGGGACCAAGGGAACCAAGACAGGCTCTGATTTGCATTTCAGTGTAAAGTGTTAGTACCACAATTATATTGGTCATACAGACATTATTAAAAAGAGCGGATAAAATCTGGAAACTTTTCCTGAACTTCTTTGCTTTCAAAGACAGAATTTCTGGCATTTGTTTTGGTATCGGTACTACTGATACACAACCCGCAAACAAATCTTCAGCTGTTTGTGCTCACGTGACAAATGAATTTGCAATCTCCAGGGATTAGCCAGGTCAAGTGGTGGCCTGAGAATCTGCTTTGATACACAGGTCAGTTACAGATGATTGGTTTGAGCACTGGTTGGAGCAATATTCCCCAGTATCAACCACCTGGTATTCAGAAGCACTCCTAAGGGAATCCTGAATGAACCTGAAAAATGCAGATGCTCCCGTCCAACTGACCAGACTGAGAGCACCCCTCCTCCACCTAGGCTTGATAAAGCCATCCATGAGAGCAGCAGCTCTGACATAACTCCCCTCTGTTGACCCTGAGAAACTCTTTTCACAGCTGGAGACCTCCTCAGCTTTTGCTTCGGCTGTGGAGGCAACACCTTCCCTGCTGAGCGATAAGGGAACACATGGAATAAAGAGATTGGTGGGTGGTCTGAATATAGAGAATCCTCTGCTTCTTCCCATACCTTCACCTCTACCCTCCCCCAAACATTAACACCCTTGCACTGCCTGGTCCCAGGAGAAAAGAATCTCTCCTAAACATTTGACTTTAAAAGGTAGGCCTGCACAACTCTGCAGCTTTGTTTTCTTCCTGGGGAAAAAAAAAAAAAAATAAAGAAAACGAAAGAAATGGGAATAAGTCTAACAAGCAATTTCAAGGAGAGGTGCAGTCCTCTCAGGTGATGTCATAGTTACTACAAGTATGGGTTTAAGTAGTTTCCATGCATTTAAAACTATGTCACAAGAGTGCTGCTTTTCCAGCTGCTCTCTTCAGTTACAGTAGCAGGGGAGTACAGTCACCACAGTGACTAGCACCATCAACTCCGAGGACTGAAGTGATGAAGAACTCATACTACCCATATGGGAGGGCAATACTTTCAGCAATTAAAAATCAACATAATCAGATAGCACGCATAGCTGAAAACACTCTAAAAAACTTAGAATACCCTTAATTTAGGAGCACTATCCTAAGGTAAAACTCATAACAAAACAATCAGATTTTTAAATCATCAGTGCTAGCATCTTATACAGTTACATGCTGTTCTCGCAAGACTCATCCATGCAGTTTTGCATTCCAATTCATCCTTGAAAAAAGACACACCAAGAAAGCAAAAATTGAAGGCAAACAGCTAGATCAACACACTAACTCCTTATCAGTTCTCTGCCCTACATCCCTATGAAGGCTTCCAGCACCGTTGCATGAATTAGGAAAGTGAACTTCAAACAAAGAACAGGGCAAAATACATGAACCCAGAAATGCAATATTATTTTCAGTAGTGACAGAGATTTAAAAGGTTAATCTATTTGTCTTATATTTGCCCCTGTATTCTCTTCCTTGCCTATCTTCTACTTGTAGCTCAGCAATACGTGTGGTTCTGCAGCATTGCAGCTACTGGCAGAGTCACACAAACATTGCAAACATTAACGCTGCCCAGTGGGATGCACATGCCATATCTACACAGAAGTGGAAAGACACGTCCATATCCAGCAGATCAAGAGTTCCCACTTTTCTGAGCATTCCCTGCACAATCTGTCTCTATTATTGCCTTGGAACTCGCAGCTGGTCGGGGTAAATGGCTTGAAGGCCCTTTTGTTTGTTCATCTATTTCTCCCAAATTATGATCCACATCAGGAAAGGTCAGACAATTGAATTGTTCTTGCTAGAACTCCAGGGTTGCCCAGTTATTATGTTACGCACATGCTTTCATCATTCTCTTACGTTCACTTGTGAGCAGAGCTCATACCAGCCCAGGTTGAGTAGCTCTTGCATTAAACTACTTGTGTGGTGGGGCCCGTCTCTGCAAGGCCCCAGAGAGAACTGCTTGGTTTCTCTGGTTTGAGCTCTGCCTTCGGGATTTTGTGGAGCTGATTTACCTGTTCACTTAACTGTTTAACAGGTTGGTGATGGGATAAGTGGAGACAAAAAGTAAATGTCACATATCTAAAGGGTGGGTGTTAGGAAGATGGGGCCAGGCTCTTCTCAGTGGTGCCTGGTGGCAGGACATGGGGCAATGGTCACAAGCTGGTGAACAAGAGGTTCAGTGTGAAGATAAGGAAGAACTTCTTTACGATGAGAGTAACAGAGCACTGGAAGGGGCTGCCCAGGGGCATGGTGGAGTCGCCATCTCTGGAGACTTCCAAGGCTCGCCTGGACATGTTCCTGGGTGATGTACTCTAAGTGATCCTGCTCTGGCAGGGGGGGTTGGACTAGATGATCTTTTGAGGTCCCTTCCAACCCCTAACATTCTGTGAATCTGTGCATTTTCCCCTCTGTCTTACTCTTTCAAACTCGTGCCTAAATTCCAAGCTCAACTCTTTTCACTGGCATTTGGAAAATTCATATGAATGCTTAATGGGCTTCTGATTATTAAATGAACTGTTTTCTTTAATCAACAAGCAAGCAGTTACAATGCAAAGTTCTAGAAATTCTTTTGTGTGTAATTTATTTTAATATGGAATTTTACTCACATTAATAAATATGGTAATATCTATACCCAAAATGACACCGCAAATATTTTAACAATGACTACACTTGGACAGTCAGCAAGTTTGGCACTCGTGGGGTCAAAAAAAAATTCTAACTTGTATTCCTTGATTAATGTGCATTTTAAATATTTCTTAAATAGTAGCAATAAAAAAAAAAAAGTACTACCGATATGGATCAAGACACTTAAGATGCAAGTCCTATCAAATTCTTAATTTCACTGGTAAAAGCAAAACCATCAACCAACCCCTGATTTCTCCTCACAGTAACTGTAGATTCACAGAATTACTTTACTGACATTGTTATCTATTTACAATAAGGAAAGATTTCATATGCTTTCTGGAAAATTTAGTACAGATTGGCAAGTTAAAATGGTAGAGCTCTGGATAGAGAACAAGTAGCTAAGCCTGCATGGTGAGCAAGTGCAGCAAGGTTTTGTATTTGTGCTCAGGGGTTCTTTATGGAAGAAAAGGAAGATTTCCCTTCAGTGCTGTGGTCCTATTTCTCAAGCCTTTTAGAAGATAGCAACTGTGTCTCATTCATGCTTGATGTTTTGATTACTGACCTGATGTTAGCTGACTTCACCTTCAGGTCATTCCAGCGCTGATTCATGTCATCAAGCCGGTGCTGGAGCAGAGCAGCTTCCTCAGAGTTTCCCAAGGCTTTCACCATCTTCTGTCTGTTTCCATCAATGCTTTTAAAGATGTCATTGTGGGCATCAATCTCAGCTTGGATGTCCTGAAATATCACCAAGAAAAGGCCAAACATCTTAGTTCTCTAAATAAAGGAAGATAGAGCTTATTCTAATTAGTATTCAGAAACACTGGGACAGAGCACACAGACTTTTTTGAGTGACTCTGAAAAGAGATGCAGAGAGGAAAACCTGCAACTCTATTAACATCACTATAAAAGGTCTGGCTTTCCCAAATGTGAAGAAAGGAGTTCAAAAGTCCTCCTCGTCTGTGAAGCAGGACTTAGAACTGTAAACTCTAAGTTCTCTGCATGTTATGGACCACTGAAGGTAACTAATTGTCTACTGTTCTCCCACACATTTCACACAGTGCAGCATTTGCAAACGCACTAGAAATCGTTTCCTGCTCAGAAATTACACATCCAGCCTTAGCTGTGTTGTCTCTTTCCTCTTTGAAATAAAACATAACAGAAATCTTATATAGCTCAGTGAAATCTGATTTCTCTGCAGTGCTTTAGGTCACATGCAATGAAAGCCTTTAACTACAATCTATGTCCTTAAACTGCAGCTAAATGACTACAGCTACCACAAGCCCATTCCTAAACTACTGTACACCATAGTCTGCAATATATGGAGAGGTAGATATAAAACAGCAGGGTGTATTATAATGTGAATTTCATAGTAAATACTGATTAGAAAAAGAAGTGTTTCTGATTTCAATTCAGCTTACTCATTTCCCCTCTGCTTAGAAATTAAACACATTTTATTCTCTGATTTAACAGCTGCCTCAAGAAACACGTTGTAGATGTTGTCATCTAACTGAGCACAGTATTCTTTCCGACAGGCATAAGAGCAAACAAAACTTCCTGCATCACCTCCAATGCTTTCTAGCATCTGTACATCTATGCATACTGCCACAGAGCAATGTAAATGTGGGGAGAGCCAGGAGGTGTACTGGCTGTATCAAAAGGATTAATCAGTGAAGATTGTGACAGCATCTTGACACAGATGTAAACAAACTTCTTTTGCAAAGGAAGAAATTCAGTAACTGGAGTAAGGATACAGCTGGAGAAGTGGGGGAAAGAGAAACAGAGAGGGAAAAGGAGGGGGGAGCAGAAGAGAGAGGTAGGGAGCCATCAGTGAAGCACTGGGTCTCCGGCTGAGCTACTAGGTGACTTTGGACAGCTACCTATTCTTTGCCCTGTTTTACTACTTTAAAACAGGTTAAAAGACACTTTTGCTGTCTTTAAGCCATCCTGATAAGAATCACCATTCTGAAAATAGACACAGGCAACAGCATTTAAAATGAAAAACTGAAATGGAAGTGTCTGATGATCAACAAACCCAAATAAGACTGCTTACTCATCAGTTAAATCAGATGCTTATCTGAAAACTTTGCAACTCCTGTCCTCACGCCTCCAACACACAAGCAAAACCAGTGAAAACCAGCTCAAGTCCACACAGCAGGAGATACAACCACATACTGCAGTTACAATTTTAATTGCACACTACTCTGTGCTACTGAAGTCTGGTGGTCATGTCAAATCCATTCTATGGCTCTTTGAAGTTACAAATGAAAACTTCATTGAAAACAAATTGATCTCTAATCTTCCATTCTATAATCACAATATTAATTCTAAAGTTATTGAGAACCTTTATAAAACATTCTAGCTTTGATTACATTTGAGAGGACACTTAAGCACAATTGCTCAAAAATGTTTCATTCAAAATGGGTTTGATTCTTGCATTTGCCAGCCATCATGTTACATTAAGGCACAGTAAATCTGTTTGTATTCTTCAGTCCCATCTGTGACGGCCATGTTGTAACAGCTCCGTTTAAAGCATCAACTTTGGTGATTATCTTTTCTTGTCTGATTTCCATTTTCCAGGAAGGAAAAAAAAAAAAAAATAAATGTACTGGCAGCTGACGGATAAACCAACAGGACTGAGGAGGAGTCCTCTCCAAAGGGAGAGAAATCCAAACATGTCTCATATCACCATGCATATGGAAGAAAGTACAGCAGGAAGGTAGGATCTGAGAGATGGGTAATGACAACAGATGGACACTAATAATAACATGAAAGATCTTGAAGATTTTTATTCAGGTATTGTCCTCTTTTGGAAGGCTAACAAGGATGATGGGCTCCCATCTTCTCCTAAGATTATTGCAATTGGTAGCAATCTCCTTTACTCACTGTGTTACCATAAATCTTTCAATTCTTAGATGTGTAAACATGTTGTAATTGTTTTCCCTTAGAATTTATTATTATTATAAAGTGGGAGGAAGAACTCTCTCCATTCTGTACACATGCCAATTCATGTTCATCCTGATGTATTATTTCTCGGTCATTGATTCTCCATATTCATCTCTGTTGTCCTCTTACCCTTGTTATTATCCTTGCCCAGGACCTAACTATTCAATTTTTGGTACTTTAAAAGCAATTACAAACACTTCCCTATTATCACGTGGAAGATCTCATGTCCAGAGTCACAGGAGCAGCACACTGGAGGATGCAGGAGAACAAGGGGGGAAAATTCTATTGCTTTTGCCACATAAAAAGAGGGACACAACCATGAAACACTGTCATTCTTAGCCCAGTGCAAAGGGGATGTGTGCCAGAGTGCTCTCCCAGTATATGCAAAACAAAGTAAAGGGGAAAACACCTGACAGAATCCACTGCCAACAGAGATTGAATTTGTTTCAGCAAGAAGTCATAGTTTTTAAATTGTAGTTACATAGGTTTATCAATTTAACTTTTGGAGGTATTACTATAGAGATGCCATATATTGCTAATTTTATGAATATTTATGTGCACATATCTGTTAAACTGGATTGATAATTTATTGGTATGAAGTCAACAGATCTGTTTGCACGCCCAAGTGTTTGCAGGATTAAGGTTCTAAATTAAAGGAAAGCTCTTTGAGGAAAGAATTCTTCCTGTGTATAAATCAAGGTGCAAGAATCAAAGTTTTGAAAGATAGAAATGAAAAGAAATAATTAGGTTAACATACTTATCTACTTCACCCTAGCCAGGCTGTTAGAATATTGCCACTTTCCTTAAATCCCTTTAAAGAATTAAGGTCAAACTGCTGCCTGTCTTTTCCACTTTTGTCTGGTGATTTCAAAATCCCCTCATCTCCACTCTGAACCTCAGATTTCTTTGCTTCTCTCCCTCTTTACCCCTCTCATGGTGCATGATTTACCTGCAGGATTCAAGCCTTCATTTTGTGCTTGGCTCTGATTTTAAAGCTCATCTCCATAATAATAAAATTCCTTCTTGCTTTAATTTCAATCAAATAAAATACTAAATTATAAGATCATGACAAGTGGAAATGCATGTGTCTTTAAAGAATGTCTAAATGTGGTATGACTAATGCTATAGATGGCAATTGTGAAAAGGACCCAAAGACACAGCTGACTCCAGCTGGAGTTGCTCACGGAACAACCCAAAGGCAGATTAGAGTGACTTGTCCAGCATAAAACAAAATACATGACAAAGACTTGAACAGAATCAAACTTTGTGACTCCAACTGCAAGGTCAACCAGCGATCAAACTTTCTTTTTCCTTCCTACAGACTGCAAGAATAATTAAAAAAACTTACAATAGTAAAACATAAATTTTAAATAAATAAATCCCTTAGAAAGACAAAAACAACCCCTCAAGCTGAACCAACAGCATTCCCATGATGATGAGCATTCTTCTGCCTTTCTTCTGAATGGTGAGTCATGAGTGTCTCCAGTTAACTCTGCAACTTCCTAAGCTGTAAGCATAATTACTTCTACTCATGTTTTTCTGAATTTTGTTTATACTGTCTTCATTGGCACATTGGCACTAACACAGGCAAAACACTTTGCTCTCTAAAGGGGCTGAACCTTCTGTTGAAGGCAAAAATATGACTGGTGGAAGAAAACTGTGACATTTCCACACCAAAATTAAAGTGGAAGAAAGAATGTATTTTATAACACGGAGAATGTTACTCTATTCCATTCTCATAATGAAAATCCTGAACTGAAAATAATAACCGAATAACAACTGAAAATCCTACAGTACTTGAGCTTTATGATGCAAAGATCAGAAAGACCACAGAGCAGGGATGGCAAGTTATGGCACACAAACCACACGTGGCTTGCAAGCCATGGACTTCCAGGTCCAATGCTGATGCTGTGCCACAAGACTGGTGGCATTTTGCACTGGCACACAGACTGCTATGTAATTTTAATCCCCAAGTACAAGCCACAGAACAGGCAAACTGTTCTGGCTTTTGAACCACATGAAGATCTTAGGAGGAGTTACAGGTTGAGGCTGACTCCTCTTGAGTGAAAAATAGCTTGAAAAATCTGAATTTTCCCCAACAAAGGCTGCTCCTGGGGTATTCTGCCAGGACAGTTTTGTACTTAGTCCACCCAATACAAATCATGTCTTTGACTGCAGTAGGACAGCAGATTTGGTTCAGATACAAGGAGCTACAAGTCCCACAACTGCCCGTTGCCTTCACTGGCAATACTGAAGTCAGTAAAGACATAGTTATAGAAATGCTGCACCTGCCTCTTTTAGAGGTCAAGAATAAAAGGTGATGACTGCTAACCCAAGTATTTGCAGAAAACTCTTCCAGCTGGAACAGCTGGAACAAAAACATCAGTGCCAACCAAAGGACATGACTATATGCCACAGGCATCAGCCAGAACATCTTTCTTTGAGGTCTCACAGCAGGCAGCAAAGGAATGGATTTTTTAATTTTTTTTTTTTTTTCCAAATAGCAGATTGTTTAGTCTATATTGAACCAGATAGGTTTTACTCCTGCTGCCAACTGCCTCTGGGAACATTGCTGTGTCAGATGCTCCCTTCAGCCTCCACTTCACTCTGAGCTTTTCACTTTCTGATGACTCTTAAGGAGGGAGTAAAAATTAGGGCATGATAGACGGTATGGACGCGGCCATTGTGAAAGGGAAATGGGACTTTTATTGCTCTCTTCCTTACAAATGCTGAGGGTAGCAGGGAGAGAATGATGCTGTTGCAAAAAGAGATGGCTAAAAAAAGAAAGTGTC